CTAAGTAGCTGTACTACTTTCTCCGTCCCAGCCTAAAGATCGCACAGAAACCTGCTCATAGGTAGAAAGTCTGAAATTATTGTGTAAATGCTATAAGATAAAGCCAAAATCCCAGTCTACAACCATGATATTTTCTGCATTTTCAGAACAAACGATGCATTCAAAAGCTCGTCTGTGTCCAGTACTGTATCCAGTTTGGGGCCTCTACTATAGAAAAGATGTGGAAAAGTTGGAGAGATTCCAGTGGAAGGCAATGAAAATGGTTAGGGAGCTGCAGCACGTGACTTCTGAGGAGAGGCTGAGGGAACTGGGCTTATTTAGTCTGTAGAAGAGAAAACTGAGAGGGGATTTGACAGCAGCCTTCAAGCACCTGGAGGGGGGCTCCAAAGAGGATGGAGCTGGACTGTTCTCAGTGGTGGCAGACAACAGAACAAGGAGCAATGGTCTCAAGTTGAAGCAAGGGAGGTCTAGGTTGGATATCAGGGAAAATTCTCTCACAAGGAGGGTGGTAAAACACTGGAACAGGTTACCTAGAGAGGTGGTGGAATCTCCATGCTTGGAGGTTTTTAAGTTCTGGCTTGACACAGGCCTGGCTGGAATGATCTAGTTGGGGATGGTCCTGCTTTGAGCAGGGGGTTGGACTAGATGACCTCCTGAGGTCCCTTCCAACCCCAATTTTCCATGATTCTGACATGTTCTGTAACATTTTCTGAAAGCGTTTGAATTTACATCACAGAATACAGGCTTGTGTTTCAGATTTATAATACACTTCAAGGAACATTTTAAAATAAACTTTAACAAAAAATCCTTTTCAAGTAAAAAGTACATATGCTTGTAGATTAGACCTACCCTGCTTATAACAAACAAAAATCCCATAACTGAGTTTAGAACAAAACTATATATCTTAGCCATTTTCAACTCAAGTTGAATCTCCTCAAAGGAAGCTCAAGTTCAGAGCTATTCCCATTGCTTCTGTGAAAGATGTTTTACAGAGAAACAATTAAATTTTACTCCCCCCACCAAGTAAGCAAAAAAACAACACAACCTAGCGTAGTTCTGATATTTAGAAAAGGAAATCAGCTTTCCCTCAGTTTTATTTAATGGTTAATTAAAGCTCATTGGGGGCATCTACATAGGTGCTTTACTTCAGAGTTTACCAATTAGCTCTTCAGTAAAGCATTACTGTTCACGCATGTGACACAACGCATGTAAAAATGGTGAACAGGGCTGACTGGGTCACGAAGGTGCTACAGCATGGGTGCTGCTTGCTAGCTAACCCTGCACTATAGCACCCTCGTACCCCAGCCAGCTGCAGCACACTGAGCCAGAGCAGAGCAGCCCTGGGATGACAGGCTAACCCCCTGGACCTCCTACCAGCTGGGGCAGAGCTACCCCAGTTTAACATGCTGAGGTCCTGGGTTACACGTAAACACCGTGCCGAGGAGCAATAAACTCTGGTGCAAACTGTACCAGAATTTATTCAGGCACACTAAGGGCATTTATACACACTTTTTTTTTCCTGTGATATGCTGGAGATCCACTGCTTCAGAGCAGACTTGATTAACAGAGTCTGCTCTGCACACAAGCGGAGGCAAACCGCGCTGTGCTGCATGCAGTTGTATAAGCAGCGAAATGTACATCATCACGCAGAAGTTTGCCGGCGGTAAGCTTTTGAACTAAAGCACCTCCGAGGTGTTTTAATTCAAAAGCACACTGCTGCCATCTTCTCAGAGCTGATGAGCATTTCACCACTTATACAAATGTGTGCGTTGCAGCGCCAGGCACTTTTACATATAAAAATGCCCTAACTGCCTGTGAAGATGTGCCCAGTTATACCATAAGTTACTCCTTGGTTGGTTTTTTTTGGTTGCTTAAACTTAACAATTCAAGAACTAAAGAAAATCAGGGAACCTGACATTTCTATTGCTTTCTCTTTGTCCATCTTTTTTCCTAAGTCGAATTTAGCCCCACCTTAAAATCAGAATCCTTTTCCAGCACAGATTTCTAGTTTAGATTACAATACTTTAAAAGATCCCAGGACAAGAAAAGAACAGCAGAGAACACACAGTGCACCTACAGGCATTTCAACTGAAAAACTATTTTTAACTAGGCTCTTGCACTTCATAGATTTCATAGATGTTAGGGCTGGAAGAGACCTCGGAAGATCATCAACTGTTTGCAACTGGAAGTGTTTGCATGAGAACTGCTGCATTATTCAAATAAGCAAAACCAAAAGCTGAGAAAATGATCTAGTAATTACCTTCCCTGTCCTACATACTCTGAAGAATTCACCTCATGACTGATTACCACATTGTCTCATATACACACATCCTGTAAAACAATACACACCTTGATTTTGAAAGGCAAAATAAAAAAGTATCAAAGTTATGACTGCATACAGCCTGTTGGACATTGCAGTAACATAGCTTCCCCTTCTCCCTGATGACTGTCACATCACACCCCTTTTTGCATAGAGCAGGGACAGACCTACTCTTCAGCTGATTCATTTTCCCTTTCCTACTTAGCCAAAGCCATTAAGTGATTCATTAAGTCAACTGACTCCATCCTGAACAGTAATACTACTGCTGCTGCACTGGAGCAGGAATCAAAGCAGAAAATCAGCTTCCCTGCTTAATAGTACCCCAATTTGGGGGCTGGTTTTGAGGAGGAGTGCATGTTTTATGTGAGACTATAGGGTAATCTCTGAACCAGACCCCCATGCAAAGGAGGAAAGTCTGTTAAGAGTTCCAACACGATCATCTTGAGGGCAGGCAAAATATTTCACAGAATAATTTTAACAATCCACTAGTTTTTTAAAAAGTGATCCTCAGGGGTAGACCCAGAAAGGATGCAATGATGTGGCTGCACCCTCAACTCCCTTTATGGGGCACAAAGTGGGAGCTTCCAAGGACTTTTCTAAAGCCCTGAAGCAGGTGAAAATCCCTTGCCCCTTTCCCTTACCTATCCCCGTCCCATCCCCACCCGTCACTTGTCACTCCTGCTCTCCCTCGTCCCAGGGGCAGGAGAAGCTCCAGAGCTGCTTTTGCCCTTCCCAGCCAGCTTGGGCAGGGGGTAGGCTCAACTGGGGCTAGGGACAGAGGCAATAGCATAGTGGGAGAATAGTTTCCCCCTCCCTGCCTGGTCCCCCGGCGGGGAAAGCAGGCACAGGAAGGAGGAACCCCTTGCCCATTCCCACTGCCACTCCCCATCCCCAGCTCCTACACAGCCTGGCTGGGGTGGGGCACAAGCAGCTCTGGAACATCACCACCCCTGGACAGCAGGGAAGGCAGCAGGGTGGGAATGGGATAGGTCTCTAAGCACCAAGGGGAAGGGAAGGGAGATTTTCACCTGCTTTAGGGACATAAAATGCTTCCCAAGGCTCCTGGGACGCCTGCAGCAGTGACAGGGGGTGCAGGAGGGGCAAGGAGGCTGGGAGCAGGTAGTGGTGGCTACAGCTACCCCTGCAGTGAATTTGGAGCAGGACTATACACCTGAGCCATCTAAATCACATCAAACCTCCTCAAAGGCAGCTTAAGTCCCCAGCCAAGCCACCCTCTACATTCCATAAGCTAAACTCTATTTATCCAATGACTGCCAACCCTGACACAACCCATAGGTAGCACCCTATCCTGCCACAGGTAAAGCCCAGGAACCGCAACAGTCAGCATCCAGCTTCTGTGAAGCACTGTCTATGTTCACAGTGGAGGCTTTGGGCAGCGGGCCACGCTGCCGGCTGAAGAGGAAAGCAGAAACCCCCTAAGTCTGTACCAATCTGGCAATGGGGCAAAACTCCTTCCTGACCCTGCAGAGGGCGAATGATGCAACCCTGAGCAGAGGGGCAAGCCCCAATAACCAGGGATCTCCAGCTTTAAGTCCTAGCAGGAGCTCTGGCCCAGCCTTGGCTGCAGCCAACCCCCAACACCTCTGAGGGAGGCTTAAAAGCACCCTGCCATGGAGCAGAAAGTGGGCTCACAACCAGCAGAGCTGCTTTTGCCCATCCCAACCAGCCTGGGCAGAGCTGGACTCACCTGGGGCAGCAGCCCAGCAAGACAGTAGCTTCCCCCACCCTGCCCAGCCCCCGGGGGGAAGCAACCCCCTTGCCCAC